CGCGCGAGAGCGCGATTTGGGAATACATTGTGAGGAAGTATCAGGCGGGAGCCGCTGCTGTTGTAAACCATGGGCCAGGGGCTCACTTTGATCCCCGTGATTTTCTTTGCTTAAAAAAACAGGGTGCGAGCCCCGGGGAAAGCACTTCAATTGAAAAACGCAATGGTTAGCGGAGGGGGATCAACAATTGTTAGTCCCCAGTAGTGATAATTTAAGATCAGCAGCAGCAGCAACAACAATCATGTTAGATATGTTCGCTCTTATCTGCTTGCGTGCCAGTCAGTCAACACGTATATCCCAAACCCTGGATACCCGCTTTCTTCGTCTTCGGTCGTATCCCCCTTGGGGGTATACACTTGTCTTAACTGCAGCGTGTAGTTCGTGCAGCCCCTGGGGCAGGGGAAGAGAGGACGGATGGAAGGAATGGACAGGGGGAGGGAGGAGGATGGTGAACGAGAAGTGGTAGCAGGAGGGGGGCTAGGAGCAGAAAGCACATGGCAAAACCAGGAGGGAAGATCGAGCGGGTAGACCCTAACGGGCGGGTCGGGAAGGCGGGCTTTGGCGGCCAGGGCGAGCAAGCGGGTTGCTGACGCGTGCGTCCTGCACGAATCGCGAGGAAGTCTCGAGCGATAGCGCTAGCGCGACTCCTAGATAAATCGTGAGGAAATCCACAGCGATAGCGTGATTCTTGAGTGTTGAGGGCGAGGCGTCTAAATATATTGCGGGGAAGTCCCACGCGAGAGCACAATTCTTGTATAGCTCGTGAGAGCGCCCCGCGGGAGAGCGCGTTTTTCGAGTAACCCAGGAGGATAGTTCAGGCGGGAGCCTTTGTTGTTGTCGTAAGTCGGGGACCAGGGGCCCAGTTTAGTGACCCCACAGTGTCCAGTGCAAAAAACAGAGTGCGAACCCCGGAGGGAGCACTCTAATTGAAAAACAGAATGTGCCCGGGGGGGGGGGCAACAATATTTTTGTTCTGCAGGCATGATAATTCAACAGCAGCACCAACAACAACAGCAACGACAACAGTCATGAAGACTGTTCGCTCCTATCTGCTCGCGTGAAGCTCAACACGTATATCCCAAATCGTGGATACCCGCCCTCTTCGTCTTCGATCGTACCCCCTTGGGGGCATATATTTTTCTTAAGCGCAGCTTGTAGTTCGTGCAGCCCCTGAGGCAGGGGAAGAGAGGACGGATGGAAGTAAGGGACAAGGGTGGGGGAGGAGGATGGAACACGGGATTAGCAGGAGGGGGCTAGGACCACGTGGCAGAACCAGACGGGCGGGTAGACCGAAACGGGGCGGTCTGGAAGGCGGGCCCAAGCGGCCAGGTCGAGCCGGCAGCTTTCAAGAGTGATTGTTGCATGAATCGCGAGGATGTCTCGAGCGATAACGCGATTCCCAAATCAATCGTAAAGAAATCCACAGCGATGGCGTGATTCCTGAGTATCGACGGCGCGGTGTCTGAATAAATTGCGGGCAAGTCCCACGCGAGAGCGCGGCTATTCCTGTATAAGTTGAGAGGTCCCGCGCGAGAGCGCGATTCGGGAATACATTGTGGAGAACTATTAGGCGGGAGCCGTTGAATTCTGTTTTTGATCCCCCTCTCCGGTGGCCATTGCATTTTTCAAGTGACGTGCCTCCTCCAGGGCTCGCACCCGGTTTTGTATCATGGAAAATCACTCGGCTCAAATTGGGCTGTCGGCCCCCAGTTTACAACAACAACGGCTCCCGCCGGATGCTTCCTCACAATGTATTCCCAAATCGCGCTTTTGCGCGGGACTTCCTCAGCATTTGTTTGCGAATCGCGATCTCGCGTGGGGCTTCTCACAATTTATTCAGACGATGCGCCCTCGGCGCTCAGGAATCACGCTCTCGCTTTGGCTTTTTTGACGATTGACTTGGGGATCGCGCTATCGCTCGAGACTTCGTTTCGATTCATGCAGGACCCACGCTTCGGCAACCCGCCTGCTCGATCTGGTCGCCTGGGCCCGCCTTCCCGACCTGCCTGCTATGGGTCTGCCCGCCCGATCTGCCCGTCTGGTTCTACCACTTGTTTTCTGCTCCTTGCACCCCTCCTGCTAATTTCTCTCGTCCATTCTTCTCCCTTCCCCTTCCATCCGTCTTCTCTTCCCTTGCCTGAGGGACTGTACTAAATGCGCAAGGCGTGTAAGCAAGATATACCCCCAAGGGTGTATGATCGGAGACGACGAGGGCGGGTACCGAGAGCTTGGGATATACGTATTGATTGGCACGAAAGCAGACCGGAGCGAACAGTCTTAAACTGATTATTGTTGTTATTGCTGTAAACTGGGTGCCAGGGTCAAAGTTTGGTGACACCTCGCTTTCCCTTGTAACAAGCAGGGTGCGAGCCCAAGGATAAGCATTCTAGTAGAAGAAAGATGTGTTCACCTGGCAGGGGGGTCAACAATACTTATTCTTCAGACATGAATTCAACAACAACAACAACAGCAGCGACACCAACAAAAAACAACAACATCAACAACAACAGCACGAACAACTATAACAACAATAACACCAACAACACCGCCACCACCAACAGCAACAATCAATTCAAAACTGTTCGCTCTTATCTGCTCGCGTGCCATTCGGCACGTATATCCCAAACCCTGGATACTCGCTCTCTTCGTCTTCGATCGTACCCCCCTTGGGGGTATACACTTTTCTTATCTGAAGCGTGTATTTCGTGCAGTCCCCAAGGCAGGGGAAGAGAGGACTGACGCAAGGAAGGGGCAAGGAGCAGGCGGGTTGCTGACTCGTGCGTCTTGTTGAATCGAGAGGAAGTCTCGAACGATAGCGCGGTTTCCAAGTAAATCGGTCGGAAATCCACAGCGATAGCGTGATTCCTGAGTGTCGAGGGCGCGGCGTTTGAGTAAACTGTGGAGAAGTCCCGCGCGAAAACTCGATTTGGGAATGTATTGTGAGGAAGTATCCGGCGGGAGCCGTTGCTGTTGTAAATAGGAGGCCTGGGTACAGTTTGGTGACAACTCATTTTCCCTTGGTGGCAAAAAACAGGATGCGAGCCAAACAGGATGCGAGCCCCAGGAGAAGCACTTTGATTAAACAGAAACAATTGGTTATTGGAGAGGGGAGACCAACAATAATTATTTTCAATGAGAATTCAACAATCCGCACAGTGGAAACCCACTTCAGCCACGCACCCAGAGACAGTGAATGACCGTTCGGCCCCCTCACTCTGATATACACCGACACCCTCTGGCCAATTTTGCATGTACTTTCAGGGGGTGTATGACGTCACTGATTCTCAGTGGTGATTTATATACCGCCACCCCTGGGGCACAGGAACAATCCATTGAAGGGTGTCTGTGTGTATACTTTTGTGGCGGAACTGGGACCTCAGGTGGATCTTTATTTGGGGCCACGAAGCGTGTGAAGGGGTGCGCCGGACTTTTGCAGAACAAGTATGCGCACGCAGCTATCAGGGCCTTCGGTGGAGCTCGTTATTATGCCACGAAGCATGTGCGGGGTGCGATGGAACGTTCTGGACCAGGCCTGCGAACGCAATCAGTGGGGCTTTCGAAGGAGCTCCCTATGGGGCCTCGAAACGTGTGAGGGGTGCGCCGAAATGGTGTGGAGATGTGCGAACGCATCCAGTGGGGCCTGAGGTGGAGCTCCATATGGGGCCACCGAACGTGTGAGTGGTGCATCGAAGTGGTGTGGAGAAGGTGTGCGAACGCAGCCACTGGGGCCTTGGGATGGAGCCCGATATGGGATCACGAAGCGTGTGAAACAGGCATGCGCACGCACTACCAGGGCCTTCGGTTGAGCTTCTTATTGGGCCACGAAGCATGTGCGGGGTGCGATGGAACGGGCTGGACCAGGCCTGCGAACGCAGTCAGTGGGGCTTTCGAAGGAGCTCCCTATGGGGCCACGAAACGTGTGAGGGGTGCGCCGAAATGGTGTGGAGAGGGTATGCGAACGCATCCAGTGGGGCCTTTAGGTGGAGCTCCATATGGGGCCACCGAACGTGTGAATGGTGCGCCGAAGTGGTGTGGAGAACGTATGTGAACACAACCACTGAGGCCTTCGGCGAGGCTCCCCATGCGTCCACGAAGCGTGTGTGAGGGGTGTGCCGGGCATGAGCATGCGGACGGCAGAGGCAGGGAGAAGGAGGGAGGAGGAAGGAAGGAAGGGAGGAATGGAGGACGCGGGGGGTGTCTCTTCAAAGCGAGGACCCAGCACCACAGGATGGCTGGGAATTTGGGTGAGAAGGCGGTTTGGGGGGGATCCTCCGGATCCAGGGCCCCGGTTTCTTCGGGACCCGTTCTTGCCCGTGCCACTCGGGCGGGTGGGTGGGGGGGGGCTTTCGGCGATACGGAGAGGGGCCCTTTCGCCGAGGTGCCTCTAGCATTGGGCTGTAGGGGGGCGCTCCTCCAAGACGGGGTGTGGAGCGGCTGGGGGGCGTGCCCAGACTCCCAGCGTCTTGAAAAACCAGGGCGGGCGATGCGTTCTTTCCATGGCTTCGGTGCTCGTTCGTTCGGGGAAAAGTTGCCGCAGTTTCTTGGCGGTTGCAGGCATGACAGGTGGCTTGCCAGCAGGGGCTCGCGTCAGATTCCAGACGAGATCCGCGAAGTGCTCTGACGGTCCCCTCGGGCGAGTCCGAGTCCTCCAGACCTGCGTCGCATCTCCCCGATCCGTCCCTGGGGCGGCCCCTGGTCGAGACAAGGTCTCCAGCAGAGGTTCAGCCCGCGTCGTGACAATAAGTCAGCGCGCCAGAGGTCCACGGCGGAGGAGGGCTCGTGGGCGGGACGAAGGTCCATATCCGCGGCCTCGCGACCCCGACTCGTTGGCCCCAGCCCCATGTACTCGGGACGGCCTTGCGCGTTCGCCCCGCGCGGCACGGGTTCATGGGATCGCGCATCCGCGGACTTGCGTATCCACAGGGTCGCGCTCCGGAGTCGACACGGATGCATGAATACGTTTGCCCTTCGTGGAGGGTCGGAGAGTGGGCCTCCAAGAGGAGCCTCGACCGTGGACGAGGAGTACGCCAACGCCTGGGCCTCCTCTGCGCTGAAGGCGGCGATGGCTCCGTACGGGCATCTTCCAGGTCAGGAGTTCACCAAGAGCCGCGCCAGCTCTAGGAAGAGGAGGAGGAGGAGGAGGAGGAGGAGGAGGAGCAGGATGACAGGGTGGAGGAGAGGGAGGAGGAGGGTAGCAGGAGGAGGAGGAGGAGGAGGAGGAGGAGGAGGAGGAATGGGAAGGGAACATGAATCATGATCGCAGTGGGTTCGACGACGGCGGTGACCATGATGCCGGCGTTTTCGATTGAGTGCGGTGCTGCCTAGTGTCCAGCCGTAGCGACGAGGCTACCACAGCGTCACGGGCTGAACCACGATTACAAGAAAATCACGGTGCATGGGAGCAGGATGACGAATATGAGAAGAATTGGGATGTTGTTGATGATGAGGATGATGATACTAATACTTATAATAATAACAATAGCAATAATACTACTAGTAATAAGAATGATGTTGATGCTGATGATGATTGTGATGATGATGCTGATGATGATGATGCTGCTGATGATGCTGATGATGCTGATGATGATGCTGCTGCTGATGATGATGATGCTGATGCTGATGAGGAGGAGGAGGAGAAGGAAGAGGAGAATGAGGAGGAGGAGGAGGAGGAGGAGGAGGAGCAGGAGGAGGACTAGGATACAATAGTTGTTCACGCTTTGATCGACTTTGGATTCCAGCGGCGTCAGCGACGGATAATCGGGAGGCAGCGGCGTCAGCGACGCTGGTAGAGCGCTTCGACGACCCCCCTGGCCCTGGCCGGGGGTGGGCCAAGAAGTTGCTGGCACGACGGCGTGAGCACGAGCTTGCTGGAGCGGGAGGAGGGAACTGCCTCGTTGGAAGGCAACCGTTTGAAGACCCTGAAGCATGCCAAAATATTGTTCTCGGATTCGAACGCCACGGATCAACCTGACTGGTGCGGCTTGACGATCCTGAATCGTGCCAGAACGCCATTCCACGGACTTCAACACCGCGAATCAACGTAACTGCAGCGCCCTCATAATCCTGACTCCTTCCAAGAGCAGCATGTCTGGTACGTTGATCATGGGAATACGTGAAAAACCCGCCGTGAAACTCTTGCGAATTTGTAGAACGAATGGGCGCGGCGCTAAGGCGAGAGCCGCATTTTGAACACCACTCGCCCTCAATCCGTGAATCTATTGCGAGTTTGTACTACGAATGTGCGCGGCGCTAAGGCGAAAGCCACATTTTGAAAACGACCCGCGCTCCATTTGTAAAACGGTTGCCAACGTTTCAGCTTCACGGTTATCAATAGTGAGGAAGTCTGAGGCGATTCGCCCGGCCCGCCCTAAACATTGGCCTCGGCCTCGGGGTGAGACAGGGAGAAGTTTTTTAGAAGGGAAAGGAATGGAGGAGGGGGAGGAGGAGGAGCAGGAGGAGGAGCAGGAGCAGGAGCAGGAGCAGGAGCATGAAGGTGAGGAGCGTTTGTTTAGCGGGTCGCTCCACCAGTTTTGGCCCAGCACGCTTCGGCGCGACACGCCAGAAAATGTCCCGTTTCCGAGCGTCGACGTCCCGAGACTTTCCGAGCCTCCCGCGCCGCGGAGCGGAGCGGCATGCCATCCGTCTGCAGGGCACAGCGCGTCGCTGGGGCCGCCGCCGCGACACGCTAAGAGGCAGTTCCTGACCGCGACAGCAGGAATATTCAAGAATAGTGAAGAATAGTCAGGTGACGGTTGCTCGTGCTCTTTGGACTATTTTTGAAGATTGTTTGCCATGCTTTGGGTTTTCCCCCCAAAAGCCCGCCTGTGGGAGGACATGCCCGACCCGAGCCTGTCCGGATGGACGGCTGGGGGCCTCAGGATCGGCGGCGGGCCCCGGGGGGAAGCCCGTCTGCGCGGACTGCGACCGCCTGCGCGGCGCTCTCGTGCCCCCGCTGGGCTCCCGCGCGGGGCGCGCCATGGGGGGCGGCGCCGAGCTCCTCCGGCGCAGGTCCAAGAACTCCGCGCGGACGGTCGGAGGTTCATGTTTGTGCCGCCGTCTCTTCTTCGGATCACGGGCTCGCCCATGATATGCACCCACCCCAGGTCGGCGGCGAGCCGGAGGGGAAAGTCAGAAGGGGCGGGCCTTCTCAGAACGTTCGGGAGTCCCCCCCAGCCTTCTCTGAGAGGTTTTCTAACTCAGGCTTCCCCGGAGACGCAGAGCACTTCTCAGCAGGCGCTGTTCTCAGAGGCCCCGCCACCGCCTTCTGAGAGGGCCTTCTCATTCTCACTTCCCCCCTCGCTCGCCGGCTGGCAGGAGTCATCAGGAGGCCCAGAATCTGCAGTTTTTCATCCGACTCTGGAAAGCTTACCTGCTTGGGTCGGCGGCGACATCCGAACCCTGCCTTCGCCGATCGACGATTCGGACAACTCGAGGTGCGGCGGGGGTATGGTTGAGTCGGGCGTGTCCCTCTACAGGAGGAATATTACAAAATGATCAAGAAATAGTCTGGGGACGATGTGTTTCATAATATTTTTAAATAGTTTTCAAAATGTGCTTGAATATTCTCTATTTGTTGCCCAAAATCCGCCTGTAGTGGGACATGCCAGACCTAAGGGTATGGTTCGGAAGTCGTCGCACTCCTGGCGGAATCCGAGCCCCTCGAAGAACAAAACACGGCATAAACTGAAACGGGTACGGCCCTGCGCTGCCTGAAGAGGCGGCGGAGGGTGGTGCGGGGAGGGTGGGTTCCAATATTCCCGAATGTTCCTCACGGGACACATACACCCACCCACCCATCCACCCACCCGCCCACACACACAAACACACAAACACACAATCACACAAACACAAACACATAAACACAAACACACGAACACACAGACACACACGAGCACACAAACACACGATCACACAAACACAAAAACACACAAACATACAAACACGCAAACACAAAGACACAACACAGAACACACACACACAACACGCACAAACACAAACACACAACCACACACAAACACAACCACACAAGCACAAACAAAACACACACCACAAACACAGCACACACACAAACACAAACACACACTCAAGCACAAGCACAAACTCAAACACCAACACAAACACAATCGCAACACACACAAGCACAAACGCAAACGCAAACGGAAACACAAACACAAACACAAACACAACCACAATCGCAAACACAAACACACACAAGCACAAACCCAAACACAAACACAAACACTAACATTAAAGCAAGCGCAAACGCAAACGCAAACACAAAAGACACAAGCACACACTCAAACGCAAACCCAAACGCAAGCGCAAACGCAAACGCAGGGGCGCACGCACGCACGCACACGCACACGCGCACGCACGCAGGCACGCAGGCACGCAGGCACGCACGCACGCACGCGCACGCGCACGCGCACGCGCACGCTCACGCACGCGCACACGCGCAGGCGCAGCCGCACACGCGCACGCGCACGCGCACGCGCACGCGCACGCGCACGCGCACGCGCACGCGCAACACACGCACACGCGCAAGCACACGCACACGCGCAGGCGCAGGCGCACACGCGCACGCGCACGCGCACCCAGACGCGCACGCGCACGCACACGCACACGCGCACGCACACGCACACGCACGCGCATGCACACGCGCACGCACGCACACGCACTCGCACACGCACACGCACACGCACACGCACTCGCACTCGCACTCGCACACGCACACGCACACGCACACGCACTCGCACTCGCACTCGCACACGCACACGCACACGCACACGCACACGCACACGTACACTCACACCCACACCCACACGTACACTCACATTCACACCCACACCCACACCCACACCCACACACACACAAACACAATCACACACACACACACTCACACTCACACCCACACCCACACCCACCCACACCCACACCCACACCCTCACGTGGTCAGGGGCGGGGCGTGAGAATGACACGTTCCAAGATTCCCAGGGTTTCCACGGTTCCCGACTGTTCCACACGGGTTGCAGAAACGAATGCCGCTGGATGCTCTGGAGTCCTTGAAACGTATCCTGAGCCAATCCTATCATGACCCTATCGTCCTGGGTGGGAGTGTGGGGGGGTGGGGATGGGCGGAATGCCAGGCAAGTAGACTCGCCTGATCATGAAGATGGAACTCCCTCAAAGAGGGCCCAAAACGCTTGAGCTGGGCAAGGGCAGGACGCCCCCCGAGGCACGCCGACTTAGGAAAGCTGCACGTGTTCAGTCATCATTGGTAGTCGAGTATACTTGTGCACTCTGCAGCCCGTTTCGCTGATCGACGTGCGTTTCGCTGGATACGTTCGGTTGTTTTTGGACGTCGTTTAGCTACGCCGCTCGGGTGCACTCGGAATACGGTGCCGTACGTGTGTGGAGTCCCCCTGGCAACTTTAACTGGCGTTTGCTAAAGGGGGATCTGTCCACCCCCGACACGCGTTTCAAGACCTCGACCCTCCGTGCCCTGCAGGTGCGGGCCCCAGCCGTGCGTCTTTCGCACACCAGCACAGCCAGCAGTGGAAGCAGCGGGTCCCGCTGGCCGCCTGAGGCGGCCCGTGCACGCCACGCACTCTCCATCTGCCCCACTCCTCTCCGCCTCTCGAGGTCCATCTCGACCCGACCCATCCGATTCGATAGCGGCTCCGATTGGCTCGATCCGACTCTATCCCTTCAGTCGCAAATCATGGGAGCCTTGTATGTTTTCGCAGTTCTTTCTATAGAGTGCATTCGCGTCCGCTGGCGTCTGGTTGTCGATGGAAAAGCGCCGACTTAGCGTCGATCAGCGCCGACTCGCGGTATTTGGCGTCGACTAGCGTCGATTCGCAAGAGTTCCTGGCTCAGCCGATCTGGTTCGATTCCGGCCTCGTGCCAATTCGACCAGCTTTGCTGGTGTGGTGCTGGCCAACTCTGCCTCTGCGGCGGTGCCCAGGCCGCCCCAGGACAGGGCTAGGACGAGGATAATTCCGTTCCAGAGCGTTCCAGGACGCTCCCAGAGGTTTCCAGAACTCTGTGAGCAGGCCGCGGCGCCCGATACATCCTCCAGAGCCGCCAGATGTCAGAGATTCTCGGTTTATGGGCTTGGTTCTTTAGGGTCTGAACGATAGCGGCGTGATCGGCTCTTTCCCTCCCTCTCCTCTGGATCACGTCACGCTATTTTGCCTTCATTTGCAACGAATTCTTTTGGATTCTTCGAAGATTTCTTCAGGATCCTAAGTGTTCCCAGGAATTCGTCGTCGCTGTCTTTCGCAGAAGACGCGCGAAAAAACGCGTTTTGCGACATCCTCCTGGAGCCTCTGGAGGAAGGACCACGACCTCTGAGGGGAGGAGCGGGGGGGAGAGAGAAAAGGAGACGAGATAGGAACGAGGAGACAGAAACGCGCCCCCCGCTCTGTGCGTTTCCCGGCACTGCCGCACCGCGTCCGCGTCCGGCACCATAGTCTGGGGGGGGGGGGGGCGCTGCGTTATGCCCCCTTCCTCCCCCCCCCCCCCCCTCCCCTTCCCGTAACGCTCATTGTGGCCGCGACTGGAAAAATGCGCACCAAGCCCGTGATCGCGAATCATACAGTGCAGGCCCATGCTAAGAAACACCCTGCTTGCCTCCAGGGTGCCCTGGGTTTCTTGGGTTTCGATGGTTTTGCCATGGGAAGCGTGACGTTCCCACACCAAACATCGACGGACGTCCTGGGGTCTCAGGGCCGGGTTTCTTGTGGAAGGTGTCTTGCAGTCGGGCCCTCACTGTAGAAACACAGGCTCTGTCCTCACACGAGTTTCTCATAGTCCTGGCTTCGTCTTAGGCGGTGCCCAAGCCGCCCCCCGCCGCGGTGCCTCCGCGGTCTCGCAGGAGGAGGAGGAGGAGAAGGAGGAGGAGGAGGAGGAGGAGGAGGAGGGAGGAGGAGGAGGAGGAGGAGGGAGGGAGGAGGAGGAGGAGGAGGAGGAGGAGGGAGGAGGAGGGAGGAGGAGGAGGAGGAGGAGGAGGGAGGAGGGAGGAGGAGGAGGAGAGGAGGAGGAGGAGGAGGAGGAGGTTCTTTCTTCTTTGCCTCTGCCTTTGCGGCTGATTGCAACTGGCACGACCTTTTGGGGGGGGTCCACGCCCTCCAGTTCTGGGGACTGCCGCTCCCTCCCTCTCCCGGCGGGCGCCGCGCCCCGCATGCATTTGGCTGCTCGACTCCTCCGAGACACGGCGCCCTCCACCCCTCGACCCCTTTCCCGGGCCGGCTTTGTATCCCCACTCTCAGGAGGGAACAAGAACACACAGACACAATGAACCGTCGAGAATCCAGAAAATACGGGAACATACGGGGAATCCTGGGATTTGTGTGATTTGATTTGTGAATCTTTGGGCCTCTTGACGCTCGTCTTCCGAAGGTCCCAGGGTCCGAGAGCGGGCTCCGGAGGTCCAGCACATTGCGAAGGGCCGGCCGAGCCGACGTTGAGCCGCTGGATGATTGGGCGCCTCTCCGCGTCCCCGCGCGTCTCGCCTCGTCCCCGCCCCCGCCCCCGCTGGGGATGACCGGGCGTCCTTCCTCGTCTCCCCCTGGGCGGCCCATACCCCCGCCGCCGCCCCTGCACCAAGCCTGCCATCCGCTCTCGGTGCCTCCTCCTCTCCGTGCTCCTCGGTCCCCCATCCCGCGCTCGTGCACGCCAGGGGCAAAAATTTGCGCGAACAGCAGTTGTGGCAGCTAGGGCATTTGATTATACTCATCCCCAGACGTCCAGCGGCTCGAACAGATCGAGGCGACGGGCTCTTCATAGCTTTTGGCATCTGTAGACCAGCTTGGGGCCCCAGCATCGACAAGCAATGATCATGGAAAGCCAGCCCTGGGGAAGGGGCCGAGTGGTCCGAGGGTCCGAGTCTCGAACGGAAAGTCGAGCAGCCAGGTGTCTGGGGCTATGGCAGTTGGGCATTCGATGACACATGGGCATCGAATCTGCACGTCAGCCGCAGTCCCCGAACGACGTGGGGTGGGAGAATGACGGGAGCACGGTTGGAGCTACCAGCGAGAAGGCATAAGGCAGGATGAGTTACCATTTAAGTTTGGGATTCTATCGTGACGGCTGTTGCGGGCGGGTCAGGATGGCAGTTGGCCGCAGTGTTTCCAGCTCGCAGTGGGAGAGCAGTGGTGATAGAAAGCGTGGAGATCGGGGAATATCGGAGTGCAGGCGTAATTCGATGCAGTTGAGAGGGCAGGACCATGGGATCTGACGGCCAGGGGATTCTCCAGCTCAACGAAAGCCGTACCTCGAGCATCGTGCGGTTTTAGCATGTGAGCCCCAGAGCTCCTGACCCCACTACCTCGGCAGTGTGTTTTTGCCCGGGGCCGAAACCGGTCCCTGTAGCCCCAAGTCGAAGAATCATGCATGGGACGTCGGAAGTTCTTGAAGGGCGATGGCGGCGACAGGCCCGGCGATGCTGCGGAGGCCTCGACCACCGGCGCGCCACAGAGCCATCCTTCCTGTTCAGCCGCGGAATGCTAGCTGCGCAGGGGTGTACCTGGTATCAGGCAGTGGCGAAGCGTCCTTGCTTGCCTGTAGGCCCACCACAGAATGTTCTAAGAACCCTTCCTGGCTTGCGCGCAATGTTCTTAAAACGCGTATGGATGCCACCGTCTTGGTTTCATACATCTGGTTGATGTAAGAAGAGCATGTTGTTCTAAGAACATGTCGTGGTGAGCTTTGGGAATGCGGGGACGGTCGGTCCCTGCTCAATAGTATCCAGCTCGTCATTCACACCGCGAGTGTTGCGCCTGCACGCACCATTTTCACCTTGCACGGTACCGTCTAGGCCTCGCTCCAGTCCGCGGCAGGCTCTCGTTGTGCCGGCGCGGCTGCGACCCCGGCGCGGGCGGCTGACATCGAACGGCCTGCGCGAACGGGAAGCCGCGGTCGCTCGAGGTTTTGAGCGATCCACGCGGTGGCTCGGGGCCAGCTTTGAGTCCGTCACGACACGAGCCCGCCGAAGGAGGACAGAACACCACGTGACACATGTACGTTCCAGACGCCCGCGGGCGGTCCTCCTCCTCCTTCTCCTCCTCCTCCTGGTCCTGGTCCTCCTTCCCCTCCTGCTCCTCTTCCTCCTCCTGGTCCTCCTTCCCCACCTGCTCCGTCTCCTCCTCTTCTTCCTCTGGCGGCGGTCCGTCTAAGAAGGCGCTGGGCCTTCTCCGAAGGGCCTGGGAGCCAACATCGGGCATTGGCAGAACGCCCCCCCCCCCCCCCGTACAATTGGACTGAGGAGTCTGCACGGGCTCACTCGGCATTGGCATTCGAGTGTATTTGTGCAGTGCTCAGTCGGTTTCGCTAAGCGACGTGCGTTTCGCCGGGTGCGTTCGGTTAGCTACCCCGCTGGGGTGCTCTCTGAATGCGGCGCCGTGCGCACGTGGAGTGCCCCTGGCAGCTCTCACTCAACGGCGTTTTGCTAACTGGGGCTGGGCTGGTGTCCGACGAGGGCGTCTATACACCACCACGGTGCCAGGCCAGGGCCGTCCTGGGCCCCAGGATGGTGTATAGACCCGCCTGGCCCCGGCCATGAGGGCGTATACACCATGCCGGGGCCAGGATGGCCCTGGCTCGGCACGGTGGTGGTGCATAGATACCTTCTGCGTATGGTGTCCACCCCCGACGACAAGCCTTCTCAGTGGCCTCTGGGCCAATCGAAGAAGGTCACTTCTATCCAAGACACCCCGCCGCCTTGCAAGAAGGCGGCCCCCCTCGCCAACAGGGGTAAGCGGGGAGGGGGTCTTTGGCGCCGTCAGAGGGCCTATCTGCGGATGTCCGAATGTTTGTAGGTGTTTTGGCCTCCTATCGTTAAGTCGGGCACGTTCTCTACATGAGGAATATTAAACAATAGTTTAAAACATGTCTGGGGAGTTGTTGTTTGGTTTTGCTCTTTTATACGTATAACGGGTGACCGGGTCTGGGGGCCGGGGGCTGGGACCACGACCACAACTGGGGCCAGGGCGTCGTTCCCCCTGTGTTTCAACAGGGTTTCGGCGACCCAGGGCCAACAGGGCCCCAAGAGGTTGCAGGGAGGCCCCAGGAGGCCGCAGCGATGGCTCCAGACGCCTTTCGAGACGACTCCCATGACGCCAAGAAGGCTCCCGAAGGCCCCGAAGACGCCCCAAGAGACACCCCGAGAGAGCCCCAATAAGTAAACATCGTCGATTTCCTATGGGAAAGCTGATATTTTTGGCGTGTTTGCCTTTGGGGCTTCCACTGCGTCCAAGACGGCCCAAGAGGCACCCAAGACTGCCCCACAGGCTCCCAAGAGGGCTCCAAGACGACCCCAAGAGGGTCCCAAGACGGCCCGAGAAGCCCCCAAGACAGCCCAAGAGGGCCCCAGGACGAGCCCCAGAGGGGCCCCAGAGGTGCACAACCATATTCAAATTCCGAGCTTTCGGCCCCAGAGGCTCCCAGGAGGCCCTAAGAGGTCTCCAGAAGGCCCCAAGAGGCCCCCCAGAGGTCCCAAGCGGCCCCCAAGAGACCTCCAGGAGGCTCCCAAGAGGCACCCCAATAGAGCCCCAAATAAGCAAACAGCGTCGATTTCTTGTAGG